TTCCAGAAGCATTTTCCACCACTTCTATTGAATGTACATTGTAATTAAGATATATAGTCTGAACAGGCAGTCCTGGATTGGCATCCTCCTGTTCTAGCAACAGTACATTATTATAAATATGTGGAACATTCACCATCAGTATTATAATTTTCATTTGCTGTAGCACTATCGCATGTCTTTTTGACACATTAGGAATTAAATACAACACATTCACCTTCTATAGATCTTAGACATGAACTCTAATTCTAATCTGTGCATTTTTATGCCATAGTTATACATGCATTATTTCCATTATTAACAGTACATGTATTTAACCAATTGTAACAATTTAAATGAGTGAATGCAAACCCTGTAGCTAGAGAGCAAATTCTAGTTGCACATTAGTTACCGTTATAGGTACATCCTGATTTAAAAGCATTACAATTAACTTCACTATAATTTCCAATTCCCAAATAGACTACTTCACAAGTTTAGGCGGTTGAAACTGAAACACAACCGGTATCAATAATATTACTAGCAATACATCTACTATTTTTTGATTGATAACAATTAGTTATTTGAGTATAGCTAGTGCATTCAGCAAATTATTAGATACAAGAACTCCTAGCTCTATTCACACTACATGCTGTGTTGTATGATTAACAAAATTCATAGGTTATAGTTGCAGCAGGTCCAGTTATTTTAACACAATCAGTTCCTGGATTTGCAATAGTAATACAAGTAGTATTATTAAATAAATAACATTTTCCAATTGATGATCTCGTACATCCAGCTACTGTTCCTGGATAGTCTTCACATGAATTTTTGAGCTCTTAACATCCAGTACCATCTCCAATCGATGTACAACCATTAAAGTAGGCTTGACATTTTGCATGATCCAATCCTGTTAATCCAGTTATTGTTGAACAATTTGCCTTACTGGTTATACTAATACAAGAACCACCGCTAAAAAAGCATTTACCTGTTGGAATAATAGTACATGAATTACTATTAGAATAACTTATACAACTTTGCTAATATGGTTAACATCCAGATCCATCACTTAAAGAAGTACATAGGGAATTATAGGCTTAACATTTAGCATGGTCTAAGCCTGTTTATCCAATTAAAAGGACACACTCAGATGCTTAAGTCACTGATTAACAAGTAGGAGGAACAGCATTATTCATAATACACAATCCAGCAGTAGATCTGAAACAATTTGCTGATTATTACTCATATCCTTAACAAGTAGATTAAATCACAATACATCCAGTACCATCTTTTTTTACAGAACAGGATACATCAACTGCTTAACAATCTGAAAATGTTAAATTTACTCCAGTTTTTAAAGTACAATCTACAGAGCATGCAGATTAAGCAGAAGCACTAACAACATTAGTACATCCAGTTCTATATTATAAACACATGGCCTATGTTCCTTTGAATGATGAACAAGCTCCTGTTGCAAATGTAGACAAAGAATAGCATTTATCAACAATCCATTTACAATCATCAATTCCTGTTTAGTTTGAGATGGTTTAATGGCATTGTGCTTATATCATATAATCTGTACAATTAGTTAATTTTGAAGCACATCCTAATCCTCCAATTTTGTATATCACAGTGCAAGTATCATCTGGTACAGGATAACCCTAACATTCTTGATCTGAATCATATGCTATTGTATCTGGAGCATCAGCACAAGTAGCATTTCTACAAGCTATACCAGTCCATAAGCATTTTTTATTCTTAGATGTTATTATACAGTTATCTTAAATGCTGTAAAAAGAACATTAATCTTACAGTGGTTAACAACTAGTTTAACCATTATTTACTGTGCATTGATCAAATATACTATTACATTCATTATGAGTAATTTTTATAATATTTGCACAAGTCTTATCAACACAATTAGATCCATTCCAATAACAATTACCACTTATTGTAGACCCAATTGTACAATTATCTTAAACTAATACATTACAACTAGATGGTTTATTCATGCATCCATCAGATGTATTATTTGAAATACAAGGATTCTATGTCTAAATACAAGCACCTTATGCATCCATTTTAACACATACAGTTAAATAACTTGAACAATTAACAACTGAAAATGATCCTGGTGAAATTGCATTACTTGTTCCAACTAGATTAGCTGTTGCACATGACTTTTCAACACAAGATGAAGAAGTTGAAACCCATAAGCAAGTTGGGAATCCTGATCTTAATATTTCACAATTTTCAGATGCTCTTCTTGCTGAACATGAAATTGGTAAATCTTAACATCCTTAAATAGTAGAGGACCCATTTACTATTGTAGGATTATTTGCAACACAACTTGAAATATAGGATTAACATTATAAAGTATTTGAAAAAGCCTTTGAAGCAGTAGAACAAGATTTGTCAATACATTAAGATCCATTCCATCCACATTGTTAACCATTAATTTTTATATGACATGCTGATTCAATTGTAATGGCTTCACATTTTATAGGAAGTGTAACACATCCTAACCCTGTGTTACTTAAAGTACAACTGGAATGATAATTTTGACAATCAGTGTGAGTAGTTATGGATGATGAAGCTAAGACACAAAGTTTCTTATAACATTTACCTTTCCATATACAAACTTTATTGTTAATATCTTTGTCACAAATAGCTAAAGTCAATGAATTTTCACATGTTTTGTCAACACATCCTGTATTTGAAGTATTGACAGTACATGTATTCAAAAAAGATTAACAAAGTTCATGTGTGTTATTATTTGATGGTGCATTCAAACATGTCTTATCTTTGCAACTTGTACTTGTTGAATCCCAAAAACAAGCAAAACCTAAGGAATTCTTAATACAAGCAGCCTCTAAAGTAATTGCTGAACAAGTAGTATTTGTATTGCATCCACCACCAGTTTTTGCAATACAATTTTATCCTGGTAGATATGCTTCACATTCTCCATTTGTTGTAATAGTAATGGGAGCATTTGTACATGTTCTATTTTAACAACCACCACCTGATTTAACAGTACATGATACTAGATAAGATGTACATAGTTCATGAGTATTATTTGATAATGGTGCATTAGAACATGTCTTTTCTTTGCAAGTTGTATCCCAAATACAAGTGATCCCTATGACATTCTATACACAAGCTGTTTGTATATTTGCTACTGAACATGACCCACTTTCAACACAACCTCCACCTGATTTAGTAATACATCCTGTTAAGAATCCTGCACAATCAGAATTAGTAGTTAATGTAATTGGAGCATTTGCACAAATTTTATCAACACAATTTACACCATTCCAATAGCAATTCTTTCCTAATATATTCTAGATGCAAGCTTCTTTAATAGTTGCAGCAACACATGTAGTTCTTGTTACACATCCACCATTAAGTTTAGTTGTGCATGTACCATCAGTTCTAAAAGATTTACATGCATCATCAGTTATCAAATTTGTAGGAGCATTATCACAAATTCTATCTTTACAATTTGCTCCATCCCAATAACAAGCTATTGTTTTTGATTAATTCCAAACACATTATATTTCTAATTTTTAATCACTGCAATTATTTCCACTTATTATACATCCACCTCCACTTTTTGTAGTACATGTTATTATGGCATCTCTGCAATCTTTGTCAGATATTAAACTTTATGGTAATTTATCACAAGTGTTAGCATCTACACATGTATTATTTGTTGAATCCCAATAACATGAATTTCCTACAGCGTTTTTCATACAAACAATTTATTTTTTATAAGTAGTGCAATCATCTATTTCCACACAATGAGTTCCATCAGATATACATCTATTACTTATTGCTTAACATTCTTAATCTGATTTTTTAGCAAATGCTGTACAACTTGTAAAAAATGTACATTTGCCCTCTACCCATGCACAAGCTGAATAATTTCCACAATTATTACAAGGTGCCGCTTTTGGACAATCAGTTTCAGCAAATGAATCACAATACGTTGCATAACTAGGAATTGGAGTGACAGTTGTATTTGAAATTTAACATGCCTTTTTTGTACTATCCCATTAACATACTGGTGAAACATTTTTAATACAATCTCCCTCAGATTGTAATTGTGTACAATTGCATTGTGTTATACTGTATTATTGACTTGATACAAATACTAGCAACAAGGAAACAATTAATATTATTTTATTCATTATATGTATTAATTCTTCTATTGAAAATAAAATGCTTTAATTTTTATATTTTATTATAATTCAAGTGGATCTGACATTTAATTCTAATAAATATTTACTTTAAATTAATGTTTCGATCATATAAATTACTAAACTTAAACTTCAAATATAAAGAAATTTGTATGAAAACGGCAATAAATTATATCATGAATATTATTACTTTTTCACTTAATCATTAACCTTCTAGATCTTGTCCTTATATTCAATAAAAAAATTATATTTAAAGCAAATACTTAATTATTAATTTAATATGAGAATGATATATCCATTAATTCTACATTCAAAATAGATAACTATAATTTAAGAGATATTTTCAATAAATGAGAATTGTAATGTTTATAAAAAAATAGATTCTATTTTGATTACTATATTAAAAGAAAAAATATTATTAATAAAAAATAATTAATGAAGATTTTGAATGACACAGAAGTAAAAAATAAATTTTATAAATCTAATTTTAATAATGATAATAATTAACATAAATTTAAATAACCAAGAATCATTAATTGCAACTATAATTGTATTAAAATTAGATATATGCTATTTTATCTTCATCATTCAATCTAATTTAATAATTACTTTAATCAATTTTATAGATTAAAATTCTAATCAAAATAATTATCAATATAATTTTTGCTCATTAACTCAAATAGTCAAATTCCAAACTTCAAAGTCATTATCAATAATATATAATTAGACTTACTCTGTTATTTAATTTTTATATTATCAACAACCATAATAAATTATCAGTATTATATCTCACTATTCTAGAACAAATTATAATTAATTTAAAAATATATGATACGATCGATTACATCCTACCTTAAAAATGCAACTCATCTGTACTAAGCCTCGAGATACTTGCCAAAATATTTTTTGTCTGAGAATGTCAAAGAAAAATAATTAAGAGAAAATGACATGCTTTGGATTGCAGCAAATGCAGAGTAAAAATATAATCAATAATTTTCAGTGATAAAAGGTGTTCTATTGTAGAAATTTAAAAATTCATACAAGAAGAACCATTACTCGAATAATCTCCAATTAGATTAATGGATCTGGGAAATAATTACTTCAGACACATTAACCCTAGAAAGAAGAAGACAATGTTATAACTCTTAGATGCATATATTGATAACTTAACATAAGAAGAAACACACTTATTTCAAGATGCTTTGTCCATCTATTTTGATAATACATATTAAGGAAAAGAAATGGAGAACTTAACTTGTGAAGAAAAGGATTTACCAGAACCATTATTATGGCATATTTATAGCTTAATGATATTTGATAGACTAAGCAGTCATTATGCTAGATATGAATATCTTGATTAATTTAGAATTATCGAATATTTTAATCAACGAGATAAAGTATCTATATATTTATATATAAAATTTTAGTAAAAAATTAATAGAGTTAAGTATGTGTTCACATCACATCCAACTTAACCTAATTCTTTGACTTAGTTGATTGCTATAAGTAGAATGCTATAAGGGATTGAATAAAATGATTACAAGTATCTAAAATATGCTGCCAAATTATTTATTTAATCAAACAAATAAAGAGTATTTAATGTAAATTATCCATCTTATTATTATTTAGAAAGTGTCTTATATTGAGGAATCATTAATTTATCATTCCTAATATTTACCTAATCTTATTAAGGCTGTAGCTTAGGCTTATGAATTAGGTTTGTAGAACCCAGAACTATATTTTGAAACTCCAGGTACTTGGTTAACATTTGATTTCGACAATCATCCAGGAATGGTAGCCATTTCATTTCTATTTATTAGGAAATTGGAATCATGACTTTTACACATGGATTGACAATTGATTTAACAATATAATAATATAAGGAATATATTGCTGAAGCTAAATTAGAAGAAAATGAAGATTTTAAAAAGATTTTAGAATTATATTAATAAGCTTTAGATTATAGTAAAAATATAAGAGATTTAAGTGATAAATTTAGGGTCAAGAAAGAGATTTCACTTGAAGAATTTTATTAATAAATGCCTATTTTTAATATCAAAAAGATAGAAGATTAAATTAATCAAATTCTAGATCATATATTGGCTAAAAATGATGATTCTAAAGAATATTTTATTGCATTAAAGTTAAAGAAACTCTATTCTATTTTCAGATTAACAGGAGTATTGGGACAAATTAGATTGGCTGGTGAAGATTTAACAGATGTATTAATACTTATATATGTTTTAAGCTTAATTCAATCAAACCCATGATTAAAAATATATTCAAAGAAATCTCACTTTTAAATGCCAATGGACAAGCAGCAGATATGATTATTATTGCTAATTTCAAAACCTAATCATAATATGATTTAGTGAATGATCTAATCAATAAATATAAGGTTTAGAATGTAGAAATAGTACCTTTATTGGAAACTTTTTCTTCAACAAATAATACTGATTCTAAAATAACTATGATCGCAAGTAGTGACACAAGATAAAGAGATGGATTGATTTTGACTGAACTTAGAAATATGAGAGAATATAAAAGGAATCCAGAAAAATATATTTATATGGGATAGGGTATTACTCCAGAAAGAGGAGGTGGACCATATACTTTGATCCATACAAAATATTAGGCATTAACTAGAGCATAAAGAAAAAGACATATAAGAACTATCTAAGGACACTATTTCACCTCTGAGTTTGCTAGTGAAGATGTAGCCTTTACCTTTTTATTAAATGGATTATCTAATATTAATTATAGTGATGATTTTGAACCCTCATATGAATATATGGATTTTTTATTTGAATTAGGTAGATTCTAAATTAAAATTAGATAATGTAATTGGAGTTCCTTAAAGAGCCATGTAAAAGACTAAAGAATATAATGATTTGTATGTGAAAAATTAAGTTGTCAGAACTATGGTTGAGTCTTTCAATTTTGCAGGTAGTAGAGAGATTGCTAGACCTTTTGAAAGCATAAAAAATTAGAGAGCTATTGTTCAAGCTTATTGTAATAGTGATAGATGCTCTTTTACTCATCCGGAATTAGCATATTGGGATAGAGTTCCAGAAGAATTAATCAATAAAATAGCAACATATTATTATAATAATCATCCTCATATGAAATACATGCTTTATATGTATGCATTGATGGCTAGAAGATGTGATTTAGACTTTGCAAAATAAGAAGTTGGATTGGATTCAACTAATCCTTATTTTCAAGCTATATAAAAGGGAAGAGCAGCTTTGATGAAAATATTAGATTAATTAGGTTTAGGTGATAATAGTACACCAATGATAGCTATTTGGAAACAACATTTAGGATGTTAATTATAATCAATGAATATGGAAGTCAATTAGAAATTTTCAACATTTAGAACTTTGAATTAATTATAATTATATTAGGCAAAGAAAATGGTCAAGTAGGGAATATTAGAAACTGATATTATTGCATGTTAAAGAAAATTGAGAATTTTGTAATCTACATTAGCAAACATGACATCTTTCGCTGGTAAGGGTTGAATTATTGATTATAAATAATTAAAAATATTATTTTAATTATGAATTTCTTATAAATCCTTCTATTATTTGAATTTCGAAATAAATTCATAAAATATATTTAAATAGACTCTCTGAATTTAATTGCTTAAATTATTATTAAAAAATCATAATTTATGTACTCCTCAGATTACGTGATTATTATTNACTGAACTTAGAAATATGAGAGAATATAAAAGGAATCCAGAAAAATATATTTATATGGGATAGGGTATTACTCCAGAAAGAGGAGGTGGACCATATACTTTGATCCATACAAAATATTAGGCATTAACTAGAGCATAAAGAAAAAGACATATAAGAACTATCTAAGGACACTATTTCACCTCTGAGTTTGCTAGTGAAGATGTAGCCTTTACCTTTTTATTAAATGGATTATCTAATATTAATTATAGTGATGATTTTGAACCCTCATATGAATATATGGATTTTTTATTTGAATTAGGTAGATTCTAAATTAAAATTAGATAATGTAATTGGAGTTCCTTAAAGAGCCATGTAAAAGACTAAAGAATATAATGATTTGTATGTGAAAAATTAAGTTGTCAGAACTATGGTTGAGTCTTTCAATTTTGCAGGTAGTAGAGAGATTGCTAGACCTTTTGAAAGCATAAAAAATTAGAGAGCTATTGTTCAAGCTTATTGTAATAGTGATAGATGCTCTTTTACTCATCCGGAATTAGCATATTGGGATAGAGTTCCAGAAGAATTAATCAATAAAATAGCAACATATTATTATAATAATCATCCTCATATGAAATACATGCTTTATATGTATGCATTGATGGCTAGAAGATGTGATTTAGACTTTGCAAAATAAGAAGTTGGATTGGATTCAACTAATCCTTATTTTCAAGCTATATAAAAGGGAAGAGCAGCTTTGATGAAAATATTAGATTAATTAGGTTTAGGTGATAATAGTACACCAATGATAGCTATTTGGAAACAACATTTAGGATGTTAATTATAATCAATGAATATGGAAGTCAATTAGAAATTTTCAACATTTAGAACTTTGAATTAATTATAATTATATTAGGCAAAGAAAATGGTCAAGTAGGGAATATTAGAAACTGATATTATTGCATGTTAAAGAAAATTGAGAATTTTGTAATCTACATTAGCAAACATGACATCTTTCGCTGGTAAGGGTTGAATTATTGATTATAAATAATTAAAAATATTATTTTAATTATGAATTTCTTATAAATCCTTCTATTATTTGAATTTCGAAATAAATTCATAAAATATATTTAAATAGACTCTCTGAATTTAATTGCTTAAATTATTATTAAAAAATCATAATTTATGTACTCCTCAGATTACGTGATTATTATTGATTAATAATTGTTATAAATGGTAAATCAATCTTTATGTTTGCAATTAATAATATTTAAAACTTTTAATCAACATCACTATAGTTGTAACTTATACAACTCTATTTTTGGGGTATATGTGGAATCAAATAATTTGAGATTAGAAATAATGGTCTTCAAAGACTAAGAAATATATCCAAAGAATTCCAAATACTATAAAAATTTCATTTACTACAGAAGTTTAGTACTAGTATTCATGAAGAATTAATTGTCTTTTTAATTTTTTATTCTTACAAAAGGCAATTTTTAGAGAATTGGGAAAAGTCGAAGGAGCCTGATGAATCATCTAGCACATATTTCCATCACTAACAGCAAGCCAATCAACAGAAAAGAGCCAGAGGCATAAAAATTGAGGTCTAGATGAACTTCTTATAGTATTTTCAATTCCTTGAATATTTGGATAGAATTTGGAGATCATTATGAAAAATAAATCAAAATCAAGATATTTTTGATACTATATATAATTACCCTGTTATAAATAAAAAAAATTATTTTATTATTTAATACTTTTGTAATTAATGTTAAATAATTATTACAATATTACTTGAATATGATATTCATTCAAATAATATGAAAGTTTTTTATCAAATTCATTTATTCTAAGGATGTAATATTTGTATTATCATAATATTATCAAGAAAGCTTTTCAATTATTTCTGATTATAAAAATACGCATCTAAAATTCTAAAATAACAATAAAAACGCTTTAGATCACAAAATTTTATGCTTCTTTAAGGCACTTCTAATTACACTAAAATTAGGATGTTTAAAATATTAATAAATTAGCAAGTTTGAAAGCTTAATCTATAATTATGAAGTTCTTAATCTGATCACGTGTTACTTTAAATTACAACTAATATGCTTTATAATTATTGGATTTTAATTAATTATTTTAGTATTTTTATTGAATATAAACAAGATTCTATAATATAGTGAAATAGTTAAAAGTCTTGTTTAAAACGAACATTAAAATAACATTAAAGTCGAAAAATCAGTTTGAATATATTATATTTATAAAAAAGAGAGATTTCATATAGTATAATAGGATTTTAATTTTATTTGACTGTCAAATTAAAAATTCTAATCTTGAGATTGGAGATAATTTGATGATATAAGATCTCTATTTCTGCTCTTAAATTTAATATTCTCTTAATTTTATTAATTCATATTAATCTATACTCTGTTAAAAAAAATCGAGATTAAAATATTATTTGAATAAAAAAGTAATTCAAATTAAAAATTCAAATATAAAAGTTATATAATTAAAACATCGAATTAAAATCAACTTATGAGCAGTTTTTATAGATAAATATCTTAAATTTAGAATAATATTAGAGCAATTTTTAGATAAGATGAATAGTTAGAAAATAGATGAAAAGAATATTTATCATAAATAATCAATGCTGATTATTTTATAAGAGTATATTATTTATATAATTTTAAATTGCAGTATTATTAATTAGTTTGGTATTAATTTGCCATAATATTTATTTAAATTACACTCATATATTTATAATGATAACATTACATTTTTGAATTTCTATTATTACATGAAAAAGATCAAAACAATTCAAATTTAATAAATATATTAATATCAAATTCAATTTGGTTCAGTTTAAAAACATTAATGCAATTCAAAGTTCTCGCTAACCCTAAATAATCGACCTTCATTTATAGAGGACATAATCGTATGGGATAGGAGATTTCTTAAAATGATAATAGCTATTACTTTCTATTAGTCAATAAAGCTTTTGATGTTGAAAATAAATGAACTTTTAATTTAAGATAATTATCTTTTAATTTTTATTATTTCTCATTTTCCTTACTAATATAATTATTCAAACATTTAAGGGGATGTTTTAATCTTAGTTTTTCTAATAATTTTTAAATATTGTGCAAAAGTGGTATTTTATTTTTTTTGTAGTTGAGATATAAGATACTCTAAATAAAAGGTAGACAGAGTTTAACACATAAAATTAGTATGATTATTTAAAGTATTCCAGATAAAATTAAATTGTTAACTTAGTCACTAAAATATTTGATTGCTGCAATGAATATTGACATAGAACAAATTTATCCAGAATATAGATCTAAATGATTAAGTCGAGATGTTATATATGGTCGAAATTTTATTGTTAAACATTAATAAGAGAGTAAACATATCCCAAATAAATATGCTTTGATTGATAGTTCAGTTTCAAATTATGTTGAAACTAGTATCATTATTACCTTTTAAACTAATTTTATTTATTCCCAAAAATAACTGTCGTCGTTATATTCATTAAAAAGATAACATAAATGTCTTCTTAATTTTAAAGAATCCAATTATTTTCTCTTAAAATACATGATTAGAAAAAGCGAAAGAGGAGTTAAACATCCAAATAGAATTAGGATTGGAATCACAAAATAGAACATCCACTTTAAATGGCTTTCATTTCCAAAGATTATAGAAACATCTCCTTAAACATAGTTAACATTTGAAATCCATCTATTAGATATAATCGAACATAACCTATAAAAATATTTAAATATTACATTTTAATTAAGCCTGCATAATTAAATATATATAAAATTAATAAAGTATTCGATATGATGCTTGAATTAAATTATTACTTAACTAGGGATAAATAAATCATAAATCCTGAAATAATTAATAAGAATTATAAGAAAATGAAAATAAACATAGTAAATATTTTGGAATATATCATTTCGATATTGTATATGTTTGATAAATAGCAATCTAAATTATTAACCATAAAATAAGAAGTATTGCTTGCAGAATCTATAAAATTAAATGAGATCGAAAATTATAAATTAAAATTGAATATAAGGGAAAATATCCATAAATAGTTTAACAACATTTTCATTAGAATGCTTTCATGATCTAAATTTAATTTATAATTACCTTAACTTAATTTGAACAATATTTTATTGAATCTTTCTTTAAATTTCAATTTTTTAAACATTAAATTAGATTTTTCTGTACTCTTTAAAGTTAATAGTATAGAAGATATAGCCCTTTATTAAGAATATTAAATACCATAATAAAACTAAAATAAATGAGGCAAAACTATTGATTTAATCTAAACATATCAAACATTCTAAATGATATTAATTTTTATAATATTTTCCATTTCCCATAATATTCTAAAGATCACACTCCTCACATAATGCACCAATATGTCCAACACTACATAAATCATTTCCATATTTCCACCCTCCTGTACATAATTTGCTATTTTTATAACAGAAACTTGTATAATCAGACAGATAATGGGGTCTCCAAAATCCTTCAAGTAAATTTATTTAGTTTGAGGTTATTTATGAAAATTTACTTTTATCAAAAATAGAACATTTTATTGTATCATATGTTACTGAATAAAATCCTTAACTAGCTATACATTTTTAACAACCTTAGTTTATATAAAATTCACCAAGTTAACATTTCAAGCTTTTAATATTTAAGAGATAATACAAAGTTTTATAACCTACTTTACAAGTTGCACAAATTTACATATATTTCCCTTTTTAGTCATAAGGATCAAAAATTACTGAAAGAAAACTCAAATCAAAATTGTTCTTATGTAAATCAAAATCAATGGTTGTTTTATAACTACTTTCCCAAACATTGCCATCATTCAATTAAATAACAGAACTAATATTGCAAGTAGAGTTAATAAGGTTTAAGCCTAAAAGTTATTCATTTCTACTATTTTTTAAATATAATCCAATTTCGAAAATGTAAAATAGGGTTTTCAAACTTTTCGGTATAATAATTTCATAAGCCTTTATCTATTAGCCACTAGGAAGCATCAAATATTCAGCACTTAATTATTTTTCTTATTCAATTATAAAATAAGGGTCAATTTTTAAAATGCTCTTTTAGGTACCATTAATCTATAAAATTTAGGATTACATTTCAATTTAATTAATATATAAAGCAAAATGAGTTGGACTTTCTATTAAATTGTCTCCAGAATTCTGAGCTTTATTAAAAAGTAATATTGTTTATCTGAAATTTTATTTGTTCAAATTATTTTCTCCGTTTAGATAAATACCTCCTCCATATTTAGCATAATTATTCAAAATAATAGATTAATTAAATATAAAACTATTTTAATTTAAATCTAAATATAAACCACCACCATATGTAGTAGCTTAATTTCTTAATATTTTACATTATGTTAATATCAAAGATGAATTTAAAGCTGTAATACCTACTCCAATACTTCCTTTATTATTATAAAAATATGAATTAAGGATATTGATATTGACATTCAGTTAGTTTTTTTAAGTAAATAGTAAGCATCCATAAGATATAATATAATTTTAAATGCATGAGACATCTTATAATTTTAACTAATTGATATTGTCTATCCTAAAATAAATGAGACCGTTATTACAATATGAACAATCAATCTGATTTATTTAAATTTATTAAAATATAATCTAGTTTTCATCAGAAATACTATTAATTTAAATTATTGACAAGGATTCTTATGAGAAATTGAAAAACTAGTTTTAAATAGATGAAATATTAAACAAGATTTAGTTATTTATTGGCAACTCCAAAAATAATTTGCAATCTTTAATTTAATAATTTTAAAGTGGAAATTTTGATATGCTTTTACTAGTATTAAGAAGTTAACATCTGAAAATGTGTACTTATTTGAAAGACATAATATTTTTAATACCTAGATTTTAATGTACTTCTATAATATTAAAAGGATAAAACAATTGAATGTTATATAGGTAAGTATTAAATAGAAGGAGTTTAATAACATTAATGAATTTCATTATTGGAGAAATGTATAACCCTTCTATAATAAATTTATTGATAAAAATTTAACAATTCTCAACATAAATTAAAGCATTAGTTTATCCAGTTATTTCAGCAATCTCAGATTCTCTAAATGGTATTATATTTGAAAGATACTACATCCATTGCTCTTCATTTTAAATGATTGTTAAATTATACAATATTAAAAAGTTGTTTTGAATATTTTGAGGAGAAAATTGCAAATATAAAATTTGATTCATTAAAGATATACAATTCAAAATCTTTATATTTTAAAGTTATATTTTATTTTGGATTTGTGATGGGAATATTGTAAAAATAGAAGCTGCCATTTTATTTATAATATTTTAAAATAATGTATTTGTTATTTCAAGATTTAATAAACTATTTTAAGAGTTTATACTTATGCAACCTGAACTATTTGTTATTAATGATATATTATTATTTGAAACTTGAGAGATTGAAATCTAGTCTAGCTTAATTTATCCCTCTTTAATAGTATTTATTTATAAAATACTACTTCTTTATGCCAAAATATTAGTAAAATTGCAGTTATAACAATAGATTTATGATGATGTTATTTAAAATACACCTCCTATATTTTATATTTTAAGTACTTGAATAATTAAACTACTTAAATTTACTTAATTCAAATGATTATCTATATCATAATACTTTTACCATATTTCTTAATTTAATAAATTATGATTATTAATTGTTAAATTAGTTATAATAATTTTATAAGATTTAATATTTAAAAAAGAGTTTGTAGAATTTGTAAAACCATTATTCTTACTTTACATATTTGTAATTGTTAAAGAGCTCGTTTAAGTATTTATAAGCATTAAACTAGCAGCATATTTTAAAGTGCTATCTACATAAGAATGTACAAAATTTTCGATAAAGTGAACATTAATAATATGTATTCTTAATTCATTTTCAGCATCAATTGTTAATAATGACATCAAATTAACTTATTATTTTGAAATCTAAAGATTCTCTTTAAAAATAAGATTTTAAATTAAAATTATTCCGATTTTTTATTCCTAAAATTCTTGACTAGAACTTATGAAAATAAAGGATGAATCAACATTAAATTATTTCATAACTTAAATATTAACAATCTATATATCAAAGAATCCTATGATTCCAATTAACTGATTTTTCCAGTTCATTAAATTATTGCAATTAAGAGATAATGGAACTTTAAAGGTTTGTATATTATTTTCATATAGAATATTTTAGATTTAAATAGAAAATGTTGAATAAATTTAAAAAATTGATAGGTCATTATTATTTATGAATTTTGCATCTTTAATATTTAACAAATGGCACTATACAATAAAAAGAGCAATTTCATTATCTATGTTACTTAAAATATAATTCTCTTCTAAATGGATGTTTGATATATCTAAATAAATGTTATTTAATTAATTTGAGTATAATAAAAATAAACAAGAATCCTTAAATGAATTATAAATTATAAAAACATCATTTATTTTGATGTTAACCTATTATTCACTAACAGTCTAAACCCATTTTAATACTTAAGATTCTTGAAAATAATTTAACTTTATCAAGGAAATATTTAAATTTAGATAGTAGTTAAATGATATTATATTACTATAATATAAATTGTTTTTGATAATTTAAAGATTTATTATATTTAATTACACTAAATGAGCATTTTTTATTAAAGATGATTGATTAAATAAACTATTCTGAATTGTTAAATTATGAATAGTAAGAAATGTTAAATCCCTAAGATTATCATAGAACATTAAAAGTGTAGAATTATAAAATTCACATTATTCTATAATTAAATTTGATATTTAAATATTGAAATTGCTATTTCCAAATTAAAGCAGATTAGCATCTTTAAATACACATCTTAATATAAATAGTGTTTTAATTATAATTAAGCCATTTTATTTAAAAGCTTATAAATTTATAAGAGATGAATTAAAAATGTTTGAATCTAACAATTAAAAATTTTAAGCTTCAACATTTCCAAATATTTAATTGTGAAATAAGGATTATATATTTTAAAGATTACACAATTCTAAAGAAAAATCAATCAATTTAATATCTACTTAACTATTATTATTTTAAATGATGAACATCTAAGATTCATCAAATCTAAAGGTCACATGATTCAACTCTATCTTATCAAAATTACTAATTTCAATTGAGTGGAAAAAGTAGATAATTAATCGTTAAACAGACATCAATTTAAAATATATATTTCTTAGTGAAAATATCTTTGATTTTAATAAATTTGATGGAGCAAGTCTAAATCTTAGTCCACATTATTCACTATCAATTTAAAATTAAAAAATAATAGTCATTGTATCAATACCCATTTAATTGCAATAGTTGATATTAATACCATAATCAAAGCCAAATGGCCAAAATACCATTGCACCTCCACAATAAGTAAATTTAACTTCATAATAAATTTAATTTAAACAATTTGATTCAAAACAATATTTTGTAATTTGCAGATAAGGATCATATAGGATATTTGGATTTTTGATTGGTCTTAAACATTTTTTTGTAAATAATTAATTGGTTCCATCAAATACATAACTAGGCTATATATTCTAAATTTATAAGAATTATATAATACATAAATTTCCTCTTATGTTCTACTTTAACATATTTGGCATAATTGTGAACATTCAGAACATTATCCCTTTTATTAATCTCTTATGGGTTACTAATAATAATTTAAAGGACATTTTGCACAATAAGGGCCATCCTAATTTGTTTTACATTATATACATGAAGAATCACAATATTTTTCACATATAGATGATCCAACATCTCTATAACCTTAGTGACATTCAACAATCATTTCTCTTATATAATAGTTTTAATCTGTTTTAGGATAATAATATTTATTTGGTAAAAATTACATCATAAAACTTTGAATTCTTTGTACCCAACCATCTCTTAAAAATAGATCACCCTCTATTACTATTTTTGAATCTTTGAATTCATTTTTATAACAATCTCCATTAATGATTGAACTTGTATATCCTTCCTAACAAATAATACATTTAAGTGTTGATTCAGGAGACAATAAGCATTATAAACAATTAAATAAATATTTTTAACAGTTTGCTATCTCAGGAGCTATAGTGAAATTATCAATTTGAGATAATGTACAAACTTCATTATTATCTAAATTGATGAATGATCTTAAACAATTTGTAATTTTGGATTTCCGATATATACATCTTCCAGTATTAAAATTAAAGATGAAATTCTCATCACATAGAGCACATCCTATTTTATATTCCTCTCCTTCATCAAATTTTTCAAAATTTTTATATAATGTACTTTTAGTAAGATCATTAGTTTGGTATTCAAAACAATATTTGCAATTACTAATTGGACATAATTAGCATTTCTTTTTCAAAGTTATATAAGAAGGTGATCTACAAATTAAATATTAATCAATTTCATTTAAGTCAATACATTAACCATTAATCAATACTTTGCTATAAATGCATTTAAGACATTAATGACCTTGAATTGATAAATAGCAAATATTACAAAATGGAAGTTAACATTCATAACATTAAAAATAATAGTTATTATCAAAAGGTTGACAAAAAGATTTAAAATTTAAATTTTTATAAAGAAAATCTAAATACTGATCCTCTAAACTAGTAAAAGTAGTATGTTAACAGAATATACATAAAGTTACTTCTGTTCCATCAAGAAAAAAGTATGGAGTAGGTTAATAGATTTCTTATTGAGTACCACCATCATTATCAAAGTAAAGATCATTCATGCAAAACGGTTTTTTTTACCATTCCTTTGGATTATTTAAACATTCTAAACAATTTAGTACATTTTCTCTCATTATTGAAGGACTCTAATATTAATAACTTTTTACCATTTGAAGCAATCCCCCTAATATTCAAAATAGCCATATTAACATAGATTAAGTTATTATTAATCTCCCTCAATCAACCTAAAATCTGAATCTAAATAAGTTTAACAAGTTTATTCATCAACAGAATTGTATGGACATACACAAACTTTTTATTCAGGTATAAAAATTCGTTATGATTCACATGACAAACAATTGTACATTGTAGGACCATCACAATCTTTGCAACTAAAGTGACAATTTTAGTATTAAAATTATTCGTTACAATTTAAAAATACTAAATTTTGGACCTCTATATTTAAATAATCATTTGTAGATTAAACAATATTTCCATATTGTAATTTAAATTGAATACAATGAAATTATATTACATTAAATTAAACATTATACTCATAAACCATATCTCCTTCATAAAATTTAATAAAAACTTTCAATAAATTCTCTTATAAATTAACAAAAATATTATGCCAAAGTGTTAATGAATTTATAATAATAAACTCTTTACTTAATAAAAAGGGGTCATCTTAAAAATTTATGGAAACTATTGGAAAATTATACGTATAAGTTGTCAATAATATTTTATTCCCTTCTGGCGATATTTAATAACTCATTTAAAAAGGAGATAAGTTCTTATTAGAAAAAGAATTTTCAAAATTTGCTGATAACGAAATGAATTTATAGATAAATTCATCCGTAATTGATATAATATTTTTTATATTCAACCATCCTGATAATATGAAAGAATCACAATTTGTATTTTTTGAAATATATATTTTTTTATCTAACCAAACTAATTAGGAATTATCTATTTAAAAATTGCTATTTCTATAACAAAAACATTATCCATAACTTTCAATAGTACTTTGAGCAATTTTTATTAAATCGATATCAAATTTTAAAGTTTATTTCGATAACTTTTATATCATAATAAATCCTGGAAAATAAGAAAACTTTGTTTCTATATTTACAAATGATATTTTTGAATTTGTTACAAAAAAATCTCCTCCAAATCTTAGTATTACATTTGTATCAACAAATGGTCGTTGCATTTGCTTTATTTCTTAAATTCTAATCATTCCTTCTGAAAATATAAGAAATTCAAATTTTAATTATGCAGGAAATTCTATGATTTATAAATAATACCAAATATTTTCGTATTGCAAAGGTTCAATGGTAATTTCAAATTAATAGAGTATATTATCCTCATTTACAAATTTGAGTGTTTTCTTTATTATTTAAGAATTATAATCGATGCAATCATAGTATATAAGATTTAAACTTTGTGAAGATTTGTCAATAATATTGTGTAAATGAAAACAAGTGCTTTCAAATAAACCTATATTACCAACCTAGGAGATAATGCTTAATGGATTATATTTTGACCAAATTCCATAAATAAAGCAATCGTTGTTACTAAATTCTAAATCATGAAATTCAAACTCATATTATTAAAATTAGTAGTAAGGATTCATCTTTTCTACTTCTAATGTCAAGATCTAAATAAAAAGGATGGAGACTATTAATTATGTAAAAATTATCATTATTAATTTATTTCAATTATGAAAATCTCTGTAATTTTTACTAATAAAACAAATATTAAAAAAAGTGGCTTATTAAAAATACTAATAAGTATTGATAAACTATAATTAAATGAATTAACTATTATTTAAAGATAGATAAAAAAATGTGAATTAAAGAAATTTCTAAAAATAAAATAACTAAATGAATTGAGTGAAATTGAATAAAATATGAATAATAATATTTGTTCAATCATTATTGATTGAATCTTTATTATTTATTGATATTAAGAATGTTTTAAGTAATAAGTATTATTTTACTTATTATCCTAAATCTTTTCTTATATCTCACTTTTGATTATTCCAAGAATATTATTTATTTATACATCTAAAACCCATTATTGTATTGATAATTAGAAATATTTTTGAATATTAGAACTTGTAATCCTTTTATCCCTTTTTTTAAGTATGTTAATAAATTACTATTGATCAAATATTTAAACAGTAAACCGACCGAATTATCATTAAAAAGTCTTTATTATAAATCTATTATATAAGGAATAAAGTATTATCACAGATGATTTTTTGTTTTTATTTAAAAGTTATTCAAAAGTTATTCAAAGATAAGATAATCAAATGTTAGGATAAATATTTCGAAGAAAGTATGGAATTCTATCACAATTCTTTATTTATTAATTTACTATTTAGAAAATTTTGATATTCTTATTAAAAATCAGAAGAAATATTTTGAATTTATATTAATAGCCCTACTGCGAGCCTTTCGATATCAAATTAATAAAGCCGCAATTATTTAAAATCTGCAGAAGTTAAATTTGCTTATTAATTGTCAAAATGCATATAGGCTACACAATGGCTTCAATACAGGAAATATCAAAAACTTAATGCTAACACAATATTTCAGATGCTGTAATTATGATGGCATCATGTTGATATTAGAAATTCTACATGGCTTGAATATAATTATCTAGGTGAATAATATTTAAGACAATATTTCATTTTTCAAATAAAAAAATCTAATATTTCTTTAATCCATTTTAGATCTATTTAATTTTTAATCACAGTTGTGTTTGATTTTAGTAGTATTATAAGATTCTTGAATATGGAAAATATTAATTTTGCTTGTTTCCTGTTACAGGTTACTATTATTAAGTTAAAATGTTATGGATATCATTTTTTTGGTTATGGTTTCCTCTGTAAATGTACCCTTATTAAGCTTTAATTTCTTAGGCTATTAAATATTGCTAATTTTTACATTATGTTTAATAGAATTATAAATAAATGGTTTTATATGGTATTATAATTAAATAGATAAATGTCATCTGAACTTATATAAAAAATTATGTACAAAGCAGAAATTAGAATTTTTGAAAAAAGATTTAAAGTAATCAACCGCTGATGAGGATAAATATCTTTGCATTATGTGTCAAATGGAGAAAACCAATATTTAAAACATGACTTTGGTTGAAGAGACAAAAATAATGACCAATAGGAGTATCACCTAAGAAGAAATATTATTTGATAATTGATTAATATAAAAATTATATAAGATATTTAAGCAAATACAAAGATTTAGAGTTTGATTGGAAATATATTTGAGAATTTTTTTTTTAATTCTATTTATTATAGTATTTTTAATTAAATTAAATTCAATAATTTTTCTCTTTAATTTAAGTCAAAAGTTGGATAGTTGAGACTAGAATATTGCTGAAAGTTATCAAATTATTAATCTCATTCATTATTATACTAGTTTTAAATACTGCTTAAAATAATTACAAAGATCTAGGATTAAATGCGACCTATTTGAAATTATGTTTTATTTTCAGCATAATGATATGATTCTGTTTTATGAATGTAAATATTAACAATGAACTTTAGTTATTAAAGTGATAAAAATTGTATGAACCATAAAATAAATGGATAGAAAAAGTACTTTCAGCTTACTCCAAAAAAACAAACTTTTGAAATTATGAAGAGTCAATTTTAAGATGATATTNAAAAATCAGAAGAAATATTTTGAATTTATATTAATAGCCCTACTGCGAGCCTTTCGATATCAAATTAATAAAGCCGCAATTATTTAAAATCTGCAGAAGTTAAATTTGCTTATTAATTGTCAAAATGCATATAGGCTACACAATGGCTTCAATACAGGAAATATCAAAAACTTAATGCTAACACAATATTTCAGATGCTGTAATTATGATGGCATCATGTTGATATTAGAAATTCTACATGGCTTGAATATAATTATCTAGGTGAATAATATTTAAGACAATATTTCATTTTTCAAATAAAAAAATCTAATATTTCTTTAATCCATTTTAGATCTATTTAATTTTTAATCACAGTTGTGTTTGATTTTAGTAGTATTATAAGATTCTTGAATATGGAAAATATTAATTTTGCTTGTTTCCTGTTACAGGTTACTATTATTAAGTTAAAATGTTATGGATATCATTTTTTTGGTTATGGTTTCCTCTGTAAATGTACCCTTATTAAGCTTTAATTTCTTAGGCTATTAAATATTGCTAATTTTTACATTATGTTTAATAGAATTATAAATAAATGGTTTTATATGGTATTATAATTAAATAGATAAATGTCATCTGAACTTATATAAAAAATTATGTACAAAGCAGAAATTAGAATTTTTGAAAAAAGATTTAAAGTAATCAACCGCTGATGAGGATAAATATCTTTGCATTATGTGTCAAATGGAGAAAACCAATATTTAAAACATGACTTTGGTTGAAGAGACAAAAATAATGACCAATAGGAGTATCACCTAAGAAGAAATATTATTTGATAATTGATTAATATAAAAATTATATAAGATATTTAAGCAAATACAAAGATTTAGAGTTTGATTGGAAATATATTTGAGAATTTTTTTTTTAATTCTATTTATTATAGTATTTTTAATTAAATTAAATTCAATAATTTTTCTCTTTAATTTAAGTCAAAAGTTGGATAGTTGAGACTAGAATATTGCTGAAAGTTATCAAATTATTAATCTCATTCATTATTATACTAGTTTTAAATACTGCTTAAAATAATTACAAAGATCTAGGATTAAATGCGACCTATTTGAAATTATGTTTTATTTTCAGCATAATGATATGATTCTGTTTTATGAATGTAAATATTAACAATGAACTTTAGTTATTAAAGTGATAAAAATTGTATGAACCATAAAATAAATGGATAGAAAAAGTACTTTCAGCTTACTCCAAAAAAACAAACTTTTGAAATTATGAAGAGTCAATTTTAAGATGATATTATAATAATAAATTTACAAATGGAAATTAGAAAATTCCTAAGGGTATCCTTTAAAAATAAAAAGTATTAGAGCTTCAAAAGAAAATAATAATTTAATTTAAGTTTGATAATGAATGAATCAAGATGAAAAGCTTAATATTCTTTTAATAGCACATACAATATTTCAACTTGAAAATAGTATTCTAAACACTTTAATTAAAACTATAATATAATAAATTGTTTAACTGATGGTACTTTATAAAATATCCCTAAATGTAAAAAGCTAATGTTCAATTAATTACTGTACTTTACTTTAAAAGTAACTTTTAGTAAAATATTCTGAAAATTTAGAGAATATTAACCATAAGGTTCTAGTTACACTTATTTGTGTTGAGAGTAGGTAATCTATATAAATCACATGATAAAAGTCACAATTTTCAATACTTACCTTATGTTTATGAAAAAGGATTTATTATCATATTTGTATAANTGTTTCCTGTTACAGGTTACTATTATTAAGTTAAAATGTTATGGATATCATTTTTTTGGTTATGGTTTCCTCTGTAAATGTACCCTTATTAAGCTTTAATTTCTTAGGCTATTAAATATTGCTAATTTTTACATTATGTTTAATAGAATTATAAATAAATGGTTTTATATGGTATTATAATTAAATAGATAAATGTCATCTGAACTTATATAAAAAATTATGTACAAAGCAGAAATTAGAATTTTTGAAAAAAGATTTAAAGTAATCAACCGCTGATGAGGATAAATATCTTTGCATTATGTGTCAAATGGAGAAAACCAATATTTAAAACATGACTTTGGTTGAAGAGACAAAAATAATGACCAATAGGAGTATCACCTAAGAAGAAATATTATTTGATAATTGATTAATATAAAAATTATATAAGATATTTAAGCAAATACAAAGATTTAGAGTTTGATTGGAAATATATTTGAGAATTTTTTTTTTAATTCTATTTATTATAGTATTTTTAATTAAATTAAATTCAATAATTTTTCTCTTTAATTTAAGTCAAAAGTTGGATAGTTGAGACTAGAATATTGCTGAAAGTTATCAAATTATTAATCTCATTCATTATTATACTAGTTTTAAATACTGCTTAAAATAATTACAAAGATCTAGGATTAAATGCGACCTATTTGAAATTATGTTTTATTTTCAGCATAATGATATGATTCTGTTTTATGAATGTAAATATTAACAATGAACTTTAGTTATTAAAGTGATAAAAATTGTATGAACCATAAAATAAATGGATAGAAAAAGTACTTTCAGCTTACTCCAAAAAAACAAACTTTTGAAATTATGAAGAGTCAATTTTAAGATGATATTATAATAATAAATTTACAAATGGAAATTAGAAAATTCCTAAGGGTATCCTTTAAAAATAAAAAGTATTAGAGCTTCAAAAGAAAATAATAATTTAATTTAAGTTTGATAATGAATGAATCAAGATGAAAAGCTTAATATTCTTTTAATAGCACATACAATATTTCAACTTGAAAATAGTATTCTAAACACTTTAATTAAAACTATAATATAATAAATTGTTTAACTGATGGTACTTTATAAAATATCCCTAAATGTAAAAAGCTAATGTTCAATTAATTACTGTACTTTACTTTAAAAGTAACTTTTAGTAAAATATTCTGAAAATTTAGAGAATATTAACCATAAGGTTCTAGTTACACTTATTTGTGTTGAGAGTAGGTAATCTATATAAATCACATGATAAAAGTCACAATTTTCAATACTTACCTTATGTTTATGAAAAAGGATTTATTATCATATTTGTATAAAACAAAGCTTATAAATCTATAATTAATAATGGTTAATAAAGTGGTATTCCAAAAATCTACAAAACCTTAGAATTAGCTGTTAAATTAACTTTAGATTTTTTGTCGGAATAATAAAATTCAAATATCATTCCTTCAATTAAAAAGATAAGGGATATTTAAAGTCTCTTAATAAAAATAAAATAAGATCTTAAAATCTAAATAGAATTATTAAGTGAAGAGCCTAAACAATTTATTAAAGGCTTTAACTTTTCAGCTATTAAATCCATTAAAAAATAGCTAAATCCCTATAACAAAGCTTAAAATTAATAGCAAGCAAATACTTTCTTTGAAAATAAGTAGGAGAAGGAAGTTTCTTTTCCTTCATTATATAATGTCTTCTTTTGTTACTATTAATCTGCTGATATAATATAAATACCAGATAAGATGGTTGATAATCATTCAATGAAGACTAAAAAAAATAGATAAAATAAATTAGAAATAAAACGATAGAAAAATATTTAATAAATTTAGAATATGGTTGAATCCATTATAAATGTTGAAGCATTAAATGAGGAGTAGCATATGTATAAATTTTTATAAATTATTATTTTAAGATAATAAGATTCTCAAGTATTGGGATAATTATTTTAGACAATCATTAACTAAGACTCATTAGATCATATTAAATTACATGAAAAAGATTATGAAGAAACAAAATATAAAAAAGGATATTTTGAATTCATTTCAAGATTATAAATGATAAAATCTATAGAAGATATTTTAAAATAAAGCTAAACAAAATGTCATGGACCATCTATCTCTTTAATTTTGTTTTCAATATGCTTTATATCCTTCTCATAATCGTCAATAATTTTAATTTCCCTACCCATTTTCCCTTCTAAGGCTTTTTTTTTTAAAGATCATTTTTGATTTTCTGCTTCTAATTATTTCTCTTTAGACACACCGAAGAATCTCTTTACATTTGTTTTTTTTCCCATCGACATGTCTAATTCTTTAATTTTACTAAAGGTATGATTTGAAAAATATTACTTAATTTATTCTTGAGTAAAGGTTTTCATGTCATATTTTGTACTTTATTTGTATTTTTAGAAAAATTCATGATTTGGTTTCAGTGTTTTCATCACATTTGTAATCCAGTCTTTGTCTAGTAAATGTTTCTAATCAATTTCCCAGCTTTTTTATTATAAAGGAATCTTTAGCAATTCCTCAATAATTTCAAATTTTTTCACTAACTTTAGCAGCACACCACACCGATCTATCCTTCATTCAAATTTGGAACTTATATTTTATCAAATAGAACCCCTAATAAGTAATCTGATGTAATAATTGATGAAGTAAGTTTGGCAAATACTTTCCTTAAAGTAGCAAGCCATAAGAGGCTGACTCTAAAGAGGGTATCAATTGATTTACATCGGATCTAGAAATCTTCAAAGATTCGGCTTCCTCGTAAAAAATATTTTACATAATTATAAAAGTCCAGTTTAAATAAGTTTGAGTGCATAGATTAATGCTTAAAAAAAAATGTCTAGAGAAGCTAAAAATTTTAATTTGCGGAGTTGTCTTGGGATTTTTTAACAAAGAACAACAATATATTTTGCAATATCAAATAAAATATTTTAAATTATTTTTTCTAATGGATAATAATTATCAGGCAAACAATTCTAAATGCAAATGCTGCAAAGGTATCGTGAAGCAGCAGATTCTAAATCGTAATTATTTATAATATTAATAGAGCCAAAATTCAAAATTGAAGAGTAAATAACCTATGAATGTCAGCCAATGCTGAATAGGCATTAACAATGCAATTAATTTTGCTTAAACTTTACAAAAAGGATTTCAGTTCCTAAAGAAATTCACTTATAATTTCCTAAAGTTTAACCAATGTCATTGAGGGAAAGCAAATTATTTGTATTAAAATTAGTTGACCTCAATTAAGAGATCAAAGAAAATAAAAAAAATGAAGAAAATTAAAAAATTGAAAAGAAGAAGAGCATTCAAAATTGCCTCTCATCTAACCTAAGTGGAAAGAAAATAAATTTTAGAGCTTTAAAAATAAAAGTTTAAGACAAATGTGATAGCTGCCATTTTTTTTATTACTCCTTCTCAAGTGAGAAAAATTTAATTCATTTAAAGATAATAAAATAAAAAAAACAACTAAGGATTACTAGGTTTTAATAAGAATGGTTGCTATAACAAGCATCATTTTAGTCAAATCGAATTCTCTTTAATGCTAAATCATTTCTATTTGCTTTCAAAGAACACTTTCCTAATCAAAATGTATCAATATCTCAATTTCGAAAGATTTTATTAACATTAAATATTCGATATAGAATTCCTTCTCTCAAACCTTTCCAGTTCTTTAACAAAGATGGAAAAAGAGAAGAGATGAAGAATTTTATATCTTTGATTTGTGGCTATGTATAGTAAAAATACAAACTAATATTTATTGATGTGTTCCTTAGGAAATATATCAAAAAATTCTCATAAACAATGGCATCTTATATGAACATTTAAAGAAACGACATAAAGAATTTCTAACTTTATATATTTAATTGGATCATTAGGTGAAGATGGCTTCTTATATTATTAATTATTTTCTGGTACAGGGAAGAGTTATATATTTCAAGACTTTTTAATTGAAGTTCTAAACTAAGCCACAATTTATTATAAGGATAAACCAGTTGTTTTGATTTTAGATAATTGTAGTATACATAAATAATCTTTAATAAAGGAGGTACTTGACAATATCCCTTGCATTTTTACTCCAGTCTATAGGCCTGAGTTTAACGCTATCGAACATATGTTTAGATGGATTAAAAGAAAGTTACATAACTTCATAATTTATCTAATAAATTCATTTAATCATCAATCTGCTTCTACACCAATTGATATCAAATTGGTGTAGAAGCATTTATGAGCCTCTTCTTAAAGAATTGTAATGGATCTGAACTTTAAATATAAATATTTATAATTGATCAAAATCTATTTTTCTGTATAATTTAATGATATATTTAAATGAATTAAAGTTATTAAAATGAAAGTCACAAACAGTATCCTAATTACAGGAAGAATTTATTCCCTAAATTTAGTGATGTAATTGATAGATACGATTATTTTGCTATATGTAAATCTTGTGGGTTGTAAATTGCATTAACGACGATAAAAGAATTAGTATGTCATTGTATTGTTTGCATTTCAATCGAATCATCGAACTTTAACGATTAAATTAAAGAAATAGATAGACAAAATAACTCTAAAGACAAGAACGATGAAATAGTAATTTTTATAATAGATTAATAGCCGAATTCATAATTATATGTTCGTTCAATTCTAAACATAGGAAAATTATCCTAAGGCAGCAAAATTTATATTAATCATCCTTAATCAAATTAATAAATTAATAAGCAAGATTGAAACAACAAATTTTTATAGTTTATAGCCAGAAGAATTTATGCATTTAATTTAATATTAATGTAAAAGTATGAATTTAGTGAATGCATTAATTCGATTCTAAAAATCAATTAATATACCAATATCCCCAGAAATGAAGGATGTAATTAAATAAAAAAAAGAATACTTAAAGAAATTGCCAAAAAGAGGCTACATCGATCTTGGGGATTGAAATATATCCAAACTCTTCATTTGTAAAAGGGGATTTTTGGCTTTTAGATTTTTTATATTATATGAATTAGCAGCAAGAATTTCTGAACTTTCACAAATAAGTTTTTCAATGTTGATAAATGGTTTGATATATTGTGTACCAAAGAAATAGTAAAGAATGGGAAAAAAGCTGAAAGAAGGTTTAAGTTAAATGAAAATGTTTAGAAATAAACAAAACTTTTTGTGGTTAGAAATAAAAAAATGAAGAGTTCATTTAAATATGGGTCTTAATAAATAATAAATTAAATCCTAATCCTTTTACAAATAATTAAAATATGCTTAAAAACTAATAAAAGCTCGATAAACCAATACTTCGTATGAGTATAATGAATTTTTAAACAAATTTTTAATATCATGATTTAAGGTATTGCAAATTGCAAGAATTGCATAGAAGTGGATTAGGAGAGAAGCTAATTTAAAAATATGTAAAGCATGCAAATTTTAAAACAATCTGGTTGTATATTTAAGAAAATTAATAGAATGATGTTATTGATTTTAATTTAACTGAAACAAAATTAAATGATCATTTAGTATAGAAATCAGCAGAATTGATTTTGAATTTTAAAGAAGTAAATGATTATTATTGATAAAATTTATGCATACTGGAAAATATCGATACATGATGTATTTGCACCGTCATTCTTCCAAACTATTGAAAAAAATGCTTATTTTCTACTCAACTATAGCTTGACCTAAGCCCAAAGATGCTCTATACAATTTAATTATGGACTATAAGGTGATAGATATAGATGATTAAAGAGTTGTAATATTTTTAAATCCTCTATGACTTATGAATTGTTGCGTTGTCTAAAATAAGACCATAATCATTTTCCTAGCGAGTGTGATGGAGTAAACTTAATAACTCACTTAGAAACTCAGCAAATAAAAATTAATTAACACTTCCTATCATGCATTTAAAGGCTAAAAAACCATCTTATCCAATTGCACCAATCATAGTTTTAAGTTTATTGGAACTTGAAAGTTAAAAATGAAATTAATTTTTTTTTTCTTTTGCCAACATTTTGGAGCTTTTAAGTTTCTTCCAAAGTTTGACTCATCAATATAAATAACTGTAACATACTTTTTAAATAATTAGGCGATTTTTTTAGCAAACTCTAATCTGATTGTTGTATTTTTTTACGATCTAAAATTTACTCTACTTGTTAAGCGGTATGTATAGATATTTTAAGATTTCATCCATATTAAAAATAATGTAGTTAAAACTAATTGTTTATATCAAATTTCTCTTTGAATCTCATATATATTGTTGCACTATTAAATAATAATTATAAATTATCTTATACAACAAAATCAGAAAGCCATTAAGAATGTTACTAATTAAATTTAAATTATTGTATTTTTCTTTAAAATCGGAATAGCCAATTATTCTTTGCAAATACTCTGCTCTGATTTTAGATATTGTAAAGTATCCATCTAAAAACTAAGGGGAAATTTAATTTTCTAATTTATTAACTTTATATTATAGCCTTTAGGATAAGGATGTTCGAAGACTCAAAGCCTATTTTTTAATCAATAATATTTAATGCTTCTTCCAATTAGATATCAGTTTCAACTTCAATTTTCAATTTGACGAATATTCTCTAATTTAAGTGAAGTGTGTTATAAAACTATAGCATTAATCATTGCATTTGTGACGAAGTAATGTTACCTAGCAAAGCGATCTTAATTTTAATTAAAAATTACATGGTTTGCTATTATTGTTTTAATTGTCTCTTCTCGACAATCATAATTTAAAATGAAATAAGTTAAAACTTCTTTTTGATTTAAACTAAAATACTTGAACTTTAATTGGTTA